GGGGTGGAATCTAGGAAGAATAAATATTCAGTGCAGCTCCATTGTGATTATTCTAGCTGCTTGGATTGCAATGCCAATGTTTAAATGTATTCCGAGCACTAATTGGGCAGGAATGGCACTAATCTAGCATAGCATAAAAATAAATGTGTACATTAATTGAGTAACTCACTGCCTCATGTTAGCTTTGTGATATTCTTTTTAGACCTAATTATGGTTTAATTTAAGATTTGATTGTTTTACTTATGATAGGAAATAAGTGGGAATGTGACTAAATAAGGTCCCTAAGTGAGTACTTAGATCAGAATCCAACAATCAAATGAATGAATATTATAAAAACTCGAATCTTAACAAAGTTTTTGCAAAGTTTTGTATCTGTAGTTCTTAACATTCTTACAGATTCCTAAGAGAACGAATTGGGAGGAATATATACCCCAAGGCTCAGATCAGTGGGAGTCACAGATGGCCGTGTCTCAGCTGTTTGATGAGCGGCCTGTATGGCCAAAGGATTCACTAACTGAACTCTTGGTTGATAAGGGCTTCAACTTTTCAGATCATCTACTCAGAAGGTTGTCTCCTTATAAGCCTTTACATTCTATTCTCAGTCTTTGTTCTGTTGGTTGAAGTCAATCTGTTCTTGCAGGCTTCTTTCTAGAGTCGCATACTACTTTTCACGTGGACCGTTTCTCAGGTTCTGGATAAAAAAAGGATATGATCCTCGCAAGGATCCTGATTCTCGAATGTGAGTATTTTAGAACAAGATCTTGCACAAAGGCATACAAAATATACCGAGTTTTTGTACTGTGTTGAACAACCATAGAACACCACAGGAAAAACAAAAAAGAAGAGAGCAAAGTGGTAGTGTGATGAAAATCTCTGTTGCACCGATACGCCATAATTTTGGGGTATGCGCGTATCCGATACAGCCCTGATACATACCGTATCCATATCGGTGCAACTTAGGTGATGAACTACCAAAAGAAAAAGAAAAAAGCTGATAAGCATCAAGCAAGAAGTTTCAGTGGTGGGTCAATTTGACAAATATTTGCTGGATTATTAGAAAACTCAATTTGTGCGGTTTTCTTACTTGGGTTGGGTTTGGGTTTTGTTTCCGTTGTATGTTTATTTCAGCGAGTTAAAGTCTACTACATTTGCAATCTACTGTAACAATTAATAGAAATAGAGAACATTCAACATACTGACACCCTGCAGGATGTAATGAGTGCCCATTTATTGGCCTTTTTCTTGCTCTTTTAGTTCATTAAGGACCTTCAATACTTTCCATTGAATTCAACTCATTAATAAAGCAATGCTTAGTTCTGACAGAGTTGTCCAGAAACTGGTTGTTGGGAAAAATCAATCATCTTAGCTCTGTACCGTTCATAGTTTTTAGTTGGGAATAAAATTTTAGAAATGCCACCTGACTTATACACCATTTTCAATTGGTCACTAAATAAGATTTCAGAAAAAAAGAAAAAAAAAGAAAAGAAAAGAAGAGATCCGACCACCAATCCACCCCCGCGATGAGATTTTTTTGCCGTAGTTAACGTCAGGTAACAGATTAATGATTTTGGAAGATTAGGATGACATCTTCCATAAATTTTTCCAAAGATTTAACATCTGGTGTTTAAGTTCATGTCACACTTCTAAAATTTTCCTTTTTTAGTTTTGGGTATATATATTCAAACTTATGTATTTCATTTTCAAGCATTATTTGGAGGATACTTATCGTGGACTGTGCAATTAGATTTTTTTTTTTTCCTTTTAATTATCGAACATCAAAACTTTCTAATTCCCAATTGTTAATGTAAATAATATTTTTTCTATAGAAATAATTGGTTTTTGTCCGTTTTCTTTTGGGGTGTCTTGCAGACTAAAGCATAGGTGGGAGGATATTTGTGCATTTCGAGTGTTTCCTTACAAGTGCCATACAACATTGCAACTATTTGAACTTGGTGATGATTACATTCAAGAACAGATAAGAAAACCTCCAGCTCAGACAATTTGCTCTGTGAGTTTCTCGAAATAAGCTGTGTTTACAATCCGTTTGCGTATTCCATTAAATCTACTGGAAGCTAAAAACAAAGATCTGTTTGATCACTTAGTGTTCCTTTTTTTTTCCCTTTTGGCTTCAAATTCCATATGTCAAAGATGGCATGTATGAATTTCTCATTACTGAATTGAGGAAGTTGAGTAAGAACAGTTGGTGATAGAAAAGTTAAGTATGTACTACATGCTTGAGTGTC